GGGGGGGGGATCTTTTTTAATTTATATTTTGGTAGTAACTAATGAAGCTTAGATTCTTTTCATGTTTATTGAACACTCCTACTGTGTTGTCATTCCTTCATTACTTTCTCTACTTCATAGTTACTTTTTAGTGGTTTCAGGTGAGATTATAATTCAAACTATAACTCAGGTTCCAATCTATGAATGGCTACTTTGATTCTTAGAATTACTATAATGTGATCAAATTTCAGTGTTAAGATCACTATTGGGAAAAATAGGTTTTGTGGGTTAGGGTGTTTGGGGTTTTGTTTCTTTCCTGTCCTGTCTCAGAAGCTCAACATAAGTACACAAGGAGACAAAGACATAGGAAAGAAATTGAATTATTATTATTAAAATTTAATTTTTTTTAGACAAATAAACCTCAGACATCACGACCCAATCTCATCAAACCAGCTGCCCAGTGGCAAGATCTCAAAAGATTGGGAGAAGAAAGGCCTAAAAAGTCTAGAGCAGCCTTTGAATCAGATAAGAACGGCTATTTTTCAGTGTGTAACAGCTCATTGTTTGATTCTGGGGCACAGGATGATTCTGAAGATGACTACGGTGAATTTCTGGATCTTGGGCCTCCTGGAGTTTCTGAATTCATTAAGCCAAGTGGCCAAACAGAAAGAGAACCCAAACCTGGACCAAGTCATAACCAAGTAGCAAATGACATTGTCAACCCCAGATCAGAGCAGAAAATCGTTATCTTGGAAGAACGTGGCCTTCTTTTACCAGAAGGTGATCCTTTGGACTCTCAGAACCAGTCATCTGATTCAGAAACAGAGCTTTTATCAAACTTTGGAGAATCACCTGGTATCCTGGATGATCAGGTCATCGAAGAAGGCTGCTGGTTAGACCATCGTTACTTCCAGTCCCTAAACCAGCAGCCCCGGGAGATAACAAACCAGGTGGTTCCTCAGGAGCGGCAGCAGCCCGAAGCAGAACCAGGCCCATTGTTGTATCAGCGTGAGCCCCCAGGGCTGGCTTTTCCAAGGCCGGCTTTTCCAAGACCCGAACCCCAGCAGGATGGGATTCCGGGCCCCTCCTCTCCGCAGCCTGGCCATCCTCTGGGAGAGCTTGAAGACCAGCAGTTAGCAATAGATGATGAGGAGCCCGGGCCAGCCTTTCCACTACAAGGATCTCAGGAGCCCAATTTGGAAAACCTTTGGGGGCACGAAGCTACTGAGGTAGATCAAGAACTCGTTGCACTTTTAGTGAAAGAAACAGTAAGTTTTATTTTATTAAGTAAATAATTATACACCCTAAATGAGCTGCATTTTCTTTTACTTCAAAATCATTGTGTTGGGGCGGGGGGCTTCATTTTCTTAAGGGATATACAGCAAGATATATAGAACAGAAGAAGAGAAACTCTGATGATACAGAAATTAAATTAGGATCCCTTAATCTATCCTTAACCCCCCCCCAACAAGCCCTATGGGATTTTAGCAGCAGATCATGGGTACCGTGGTGCTGTCATAAGAGCAATCCCCTGGTTTTAAAAAGGCTTTCAGTTAACTCTAATTCGGACCCATAAAACAGGCTAGAGGTGCACTGTCTAATGTGGTAGCCTCGTGTGGCTGTTTAAGTTTAAACGTCTTAACAAATAGGGGCTCCTGGGTGGCTCAGTCGGTTAAGCATCCAACTTCGGCTCAGGTCATGATCTTGCGGTCCCTGAGTTTGAGCCCCGCGTCAGGCTCTGTGCTGACAGCTCAGAGCCTGGAGCCTGTTTCAGATTCTGTGTCTCCCTCTCTCTCTGACCCTCTCCCGTTCATGCTCGGTCTCTCTCTGTCTCAAAAATAAATAAACGTTGAAGAAAAAAATTAAATGTCTTAACAAATAGAACCTGAAATTCCATTTCCAGTGGTACTAGTCACATTCGGTGTGCATGATAGCCACGTGGGGCTGAATAGCTCCCATGGTGGCAAGCACAGAATAGAACGTTTCCATCATTGAATGGAGTTCTGTTGGATATCCTTGATGTAGAACGTAATGCAGGGCTGTGTGTTCTGGCTCAGCTGCCGTTTGCCTTTGAACAAGCCCTTAACCCTCCTTCCCCCAGGTGTTTTCATCCGGCACACTAGCTCACGTGCACCTTAAGGGGTAGTGCTTTACTCCCCTTTGGATTGCCTTTGCCGGGGCTGAGATGTTCAGTGTTTTTTGAAAGAGTGAAGAATGGATATGCAAAGTGGCAGAGGACCAGATAATTGCTAGGGGCCTCTCTAGAGTCCACAGTCTCCGTAGACAGAGAAGTCGGGGCACAGACCTGCTTTACAGCCCTTTTGTCATTTTCAGTCATTTTACTTTTTGCCCTCTGGCTGTTATTGCAATTTGAAACCGTTGTAGTGGATAAAATACAAATAATGTCTTTATTCCTTTTTAGGAAGCGAGATTTCCAGATGTTGCAAATGGGTATGTTGAGGAGATAATTCATTTGAAGAATTATTATGATTTGAATGTGTAAGTACACTACCATGCCTTTTTTTTCTTATTGTGGTAAAATACACATAATATGAAAACCTACCATTTTTACCATTTTTTAGGTATATAGACCATTGGCATTAAGTTTCTTCACATTTTTGCACAACCATCAACACCATCTCCAGACATTTTCATTTTCCCAAGCTGACACTCTGTCCCCTTTAACATTAACTTCTTATTCCCACCGCTCCTCCGCCCCCCCAGGCCCTGGGACCTACACTTCTACTTTCTGTCTCTCTGAATTTGACTACCCTAGGGACTTGATATTAGGAGTATAACACAGTATTTGTCTTTTTGTGACTGGCTTATTTCACTTAGCATTTTGTCGTTTTTAATAATCCTATCTGAAGAGTTCTCATTTTTGTCACATACAGACTGTTTTCTGGGTTTTACTGAATCCTGCGTGGCTGTGGAATGAAGGTGTTTCATTAATTCTGAGCATTGATAACTCATTTTGGTCGAGGTTGTATTTTGGTCAGGTTGTTAAAAGACATTGTCTTCCCTGTGGTTGTACCAGTGTTCTGCAACCACTTTCTCTATTTGGGAAAATGCATAGAAGTGTTTCTTTAGTCCCTTTATCATAAAAATGTGAACTGTGATTTTGTAAAAATATAAATGTTCTGGTTGGAGGGGGAAGAATAAAATTTTTTTTAAATAAATAAAAATAGCAGTGTCCCAAAGAACACAAAATGAAAAGTAAGTCTCTTTCCTTTCACACTCTTTCCCCTCCTTACAGCGTGCGGAGGTAAAACAGTTACAAGTTAATGAAGAACAGTAGAATATTGAAACTAATACAATTTTCAGCTAATTAACACAGAAGGGGGAGTATACCAAAACCTCCGTCCTCAGAGATTATAGCTTCTACCGTGGTACTCACTCAGGCAAGGGTGCAGCTGGGAGCTGTTCCCTGCCGTGGCTGAGAGGGAAGAGCCCCGTTTCCCAGGTCAGCAGCCTAGAGGAGATGCTTATTCCTAATTTGTACAAAGACACTGTTGGTGCCAGTGGCCACCCTGTTGCCCTCTGCCCAGCGGCAGCGCTGTGACCAGTTTTTAAACCAGGATTGAGTCAAGGTTTTCGTCATGTATTTATCTCTTTAGCTGTTTAATCTAGAACAGTCCCCCACTTACTTTAAAAAAAAATTTTTTTTTTTAACGTTTATTTATTTTTG